TCGCTAGGCAACTCTTTGAGCCACCAACCCCACGACACATCAGGTGATCTCGTGGGTACAACTTGGGGCCAGGCAGCTGTGTCACGAGCCCTGCCAGGCACAGGAACCAAGTTTATAAGGCGCCATCGTGGCCGAGTTTCAATTTAGGGGCCGTCCATAAATGACGTCACGCACCTAGGGGAGGGGGGGGGGGGTCAGAGATTTGTCACGATGTGTGACAAGGCGGGGGGGGGGGGGTCAGAAATGTGACGTCACATCAAAATACACAACTTTAAATAAATATAGACAACACGTTCTACTCAATTAAATAGACGTTTTAATAAATGTTTTCTCCTACAACATCAGAGTGCAGCGCCACATTAAATACGCACTACAATGACAATAGTTTAAAGCGATTTGAAGCGTGTTTTATTTGGGGGGGGCAGAGCTTTGTGACGTCATATTTGAGGGGGGGGTCTGACTTTTTGCGACGCCGTGTGACGATGCGGGGGGGGGGGGTCAAAAATCGTTCAAAATCGCGTGACGTCATTTATGGACGGCCCCTTACGCCTTAACCCCGCTTATCACCGATGTCACATGGCAAAGTTACACTGTTGATACGCCTCTGCGTAGATCGTCGCGCCTGCGCGTGTGCGGCTCTCTGCCCGATGCGTTTTCGGGTTGGCACCCCTCGTGGTTTGTTCGGCGCGACGTCCGACGTTTCGCTCCATTCGCCATTCGGTGGGTGAGAGCTTCTTCGGCAACCTGAGTTCTGCAGAGCCTTTTTTTTTTAGCGAAACTGTACCAAAGACGTGTGGAACAGTTGCGTCGTTCGGTCGCGTAAAATGTCGGGAACTAAAGAATTCGCATCGATGTGCTTATTGTTGATTTAGCTGACGCGTCGTGCCGATTTTGAGATATTGGTAGACGGTACATATTTGTATACACTGTTACAGCATTGCAGTGCACATACCAACGGAGCAAATGATTTTGAGTGTGAATGCGAGATAAAAAAAAACACGTTATTATTTACATGCGGAGACACGGAATGGCGTTCTGCTTACGCATGCCGTGTTCTATTTATTGACACTGTGAAACTACAAGCACGTACACATGCGTATGCATGCACTCGCTCAAATGGCAGGTAATCTACACATTGGCTGTATGCTTATGCTAAATCCCCATTGACTTTAGTCGGAGGAAGTGAACCGATGTTGTGCGAGGAGGGAATGCAGCGTCACTGAGAACCACAAAATTCACCCTCTGCACCGCTGTGCAAAATGACATAAGGAGCATTGTCAATCCCTAGTTTGTAATGAAAACAAATCAACGAGTTGCCTTATACAACGGGTCACTGGCCAATCACCAAACAGCCACTCTATTTACCAAGACCCAAAACCAAACATCCAGTCTACAGTGTATGCAATGTATCACCCACATATAGTACTCAACACCCATTCTACGGCCCAGACCTATGCGTGTAAGTATGTTGAACTTCGTTCGCACCATACGTAGGACAACAAAGCTTGAATTCAACGCTCACCTTTAGCCCAGACCCGTGACTCAACATCCAGCCACTCGGCGACCTCGTTACATTGAAGGTGAAGATGCACAAATTCCATATCGGGGTGGCAGAGACCATTCTGTCCCATCGGACAACCACTCGCATTTCTCCGAAAAGGACGGTACCAATCTAATCGCCACTGGAAATGATGATTAGCCGAGTGTAAACCTGACTGGATTTAGAACTCGTAACCATCTGATTGTCAATGCGAGGTCCCTGGACACAGTGGGCTATGATAAACCTACACATTATTATAAGACTTTAGTTATCTCTGAACGTTTATTCCAGCTGGGTGGGTGACATGCATGCAGTTGGTCAGGGATCGTGCACGCGCTATTAAGACCACGGTGGCATTAATCATTTAAACGGGGAGGATAGAATACCCTGATAGCTTTTTTTTAAAGGCCCCACACACAATCCCTGCGTGCTGACAGGGATAATCACACCGCTTTGCACTGAATTAAGAGCGCACAACCTTGGCAATTTTTAATTATGGCAGCCTGCCCCTACCCCAACCCTGACTTTGTTTCGTCTGCTCATCCACGCCCCAAATTCCACATCCATTACAAAGCGCCGTCATTCAGAGGGATGGACAACAGCCCAGAAGTTTGCGTGGAAACGCTGCGTAAACAATTCCAAATCAATCAAACTGGGCAGCAACTAAGGCTGAATCAGGTCCCCAGGGAGGGGAGCAGCAGCTGGGAGTGACTGGTTCGCACCCACCGCAGCACCACCCAAAACGTGCCACGTGGAGCCTTGTGGCCTCGGGTCAGCCGGTTGCAGCTTTTGACAATAATTCTAAAAATATATGTTTTCTTATGCCAGATAAGGCCCACTGAGCTGTATAGCTCTTTTTGAGATGCAATCTGACCACAAATGATATCTCAACAAAGTGGTTTATCACTTGGAAATGTATAGCAGACAAATACTCAAAAGACACGTTGATTCTAAATGTGGAGGGAAAAACTGGGAGGACCCGGAAAAAAATCCACGCGGCCACGGGAAGAACACAGGAACTCCAAATATACAGGCATTAGGGTCAAGATCGAAGCCACAACCTCCTGCATCGCAGGCGAGGGAAATATAATCTCGTCACCGTGGTGGCCCTATAACATTTCACCACAATAAAGGACTCCAGAGGAATGGACACATTTTTATATTTGCCACACACACAAGAACAAGAAAATCCACCTGATTTTCAAACAAGTAAGGCAAATCATACAAACGCATGGATCTATGGAACGCTTTCCAGAATGTGTTTGTCTCCGTAAGTATTGAATAACTATCCGTCTGGAAGCCGATGGCTAACTGGAAAATGAAACCGATTAATTGGTGATGCTGATGCGTTCACATTGGTGCACAAGCACAATTAACAAAGCAAAATCTCCACACGTCTGTCAAGAACCTTGTATTTTACCAGGTAAGGTCCACTGAGCTGTATCACTCTTTTTCAGAAGCGATCTGGCCACAAATGATAGCTCAGCGAAGTGGCTTATCATGAGGAAATTTATAACAGCCAAATACGAAAACCGTATCGGGCCATGAAGAAGGGCCATTGCCTGAAACGTTACCTAATTTATATATTTTATTTTAAAGACAGGGTGTTATTAACGCAAATATTGGGCTTTTCGTGTCTCCAAAGTGTGGGTAACACTACGATCAATTTGACCAGTTTTAAATCTGGTAAGTCCCAAATAGCAACACAACAAATGCGTACACGCGTTATCATGGCCGTCCCTATTACGGACAGAGTCTTTCAGCATTAGTTGTAAATCCTTAAAAAGACAAAACAGTATTCAAGGAATCTGCCAGATCGATTGTATAGAAGAAAGGCCCACTGGGAACATGAGCGCTCATGATAATGAGTTGGGGTACAGCAGGGAGATGGCAGTCTTCGTTCATCTGAAATTCTCCACCGGCACGATGGGCTTTCACATCCGCCCAACGTTGACTTACAGCCTCTGGAAACACTCTGTCTTGTAACGTTGGTGACATTTGTCTCGATTACTGCAACGCCGCCCTTAATCGAATCTCTAAAAAAGACGACTTTGGCTCCAAAACGACCTGTTTCGAGCTGTCCTAGACGTTATTTTATTTTGGCACAGGTAAATATCCGTATGGAAATAAAGTCACGTGCATTTCGATGGGCATTAGGCATTACGCACGGCCATATGTATGTATGTTGAGCTTCTTTATCACCGTACGTAGCCAACCCGTGCTAATCGGAGGTGCTATTTGGCTTCCATGGTTTCGAAAAAAAAAAACCTTGCACCAGCTCCCCATCAAATCAAGGCTGCAGTACAACATTGATATCCTGTGTCATCGAGCTCTGTTTAAGTCTCTCTGGCCACACCTCTGCACCCTTCTCACTCCACTGACCACTTCACCTACCAACATTGTCATCGTACCCAGAACCAGCACCCTACTGGCTGAGTGACGTTTCTCTGTAGCAGCACTCGGCAATCGTCTGGGGCTCTCTCCCACTGCATATTCGAAGCATTCGTGCATCATCTTTATCATCCACCTTCAAGCAGTAGCTCACGGCTCTCAGCCTTTAGGCTCTCGCCTGTTCAAGAATATGAATCCCTGCAGTCACGAAAGCTTTACATAAAAATTTGTTGAATTTCTTTCGCATCGTACATAGCCGACAGTGCTAATCGGAGGTGCGGGGGAAGGACAATAATCCAAACACAAAGAGCAGTTCTAAATAAATTAGTTTTCAATCTAAATGATTTAAAAGTGCGTTGCTCCAGTGTCCTCCTAATATCGGAGGGAGGAGCATTCCAGACGGCCGCAGAAGCGCATCTCAAAGCGCGCGATGCGGTGACCGTCTTTGTTCGATGGCCGGTCAGAAGCCGCTGCTGTGAGGATGACCGGAGTTCACGTGGCGATGATTAATGTTCCTTGAGGCGTGGAGGAAAGCTGCGCGTTGAGGAGGAAGGATGAAAGAAGGAGTTGGACGAAGTTGTGAATGAAGAAGGGGATGGGTGAAGCAAATCCGTGCGGGAGGAGGAGGTGGAAGGATGAAAGAAGGAGTTGGAAGGAAGTTGTGAATGAAGGAGGGGATGGGTGAAGCAAATCCGTGCGGGAGGAGGAGGTGGAAGGATGAAAGAAGGAGTTGGAAGGAAGTTGTCAATGAAGGAGGGGATGGGTGAAGCAAATCCGTGCGGGAGGAGGAGGAGGGGCAGGGGGAGGAGGGAGCGCCGCCTTTTGTTGGGCGAGAGATGGCGCGCTCACGTGGGCGGAGGGAGTGGAGCGGGGAGGAGGGAGCGGATGGAGGAGGGCGAGTGGAGGAGGAGGGAGGGCGAGGGGAGGGGGAGGAGGGCGCGGGGAGGAGGGCGAGGGGAGGGGGGAGGAGGGATGAGGAGGGAGGGCGAGGCGTGGTCTCGTGGTGGCCTCGCCACCAAAGGGGAGTTGCCTCTTCCCCCCCCTCTTCTCTCTCTCTGGTGTGTTTGCGCTCCCCTGCCTCTCTCACTGTGTGCTCAGCCGAGGTGGCCCAGGGTTTGTTTGTAGCAGCGGTAGGTCGCGTCCGCGTCCAAACAAGCGCCTTTCTAAAGCTCTCTCCGAGGCGACGGAGAGCGGCTGTAAAGCGTTACCCCCCACCCCCCCCTTCCCACCATCCAGCAAGCGGCAAGCCGAACGGCATCATCATCAGCAGCAGCATCATCAGCAGGTGTGAAAAGGCGAGCAACCTAGCGACGCGATGGATAACTCGCACGTGCTGCCCGCTCACCTGCAGCAGGAGGAGGACTGGGACAGAGAGATGCTCCTCGACCCAGCCTGGGAGAAGCAGCAGCGCAAGGTGAGCGAGCATCTTCCTCCGACACACCTGGAGCAGCAGCAGCTGCAGCAGCAACAACAACAACCTCCTCCCCCGCCTTGTCCCCCATCGCTAGCACGATTTGACGGACCAGAATCTTCAATTCGGTTCGCTGGCTCGGCCCGAGACAACTTGGCACGGTTCCCCACGCGCGTTCAACTCGTAATCTTTAATGCAGATTTTGGTGGAATTCTACGAGCCACTCGGCTATTTGTTTTTGAGACATGTCCAGGACGGTCTGGTCGGCAAGTAGACTCGGCTGCTCACTCACACAACCACCAAAACCGACTTGCCTCTCCACTCAACGATTTGCTACCCCATTCACTTGTTCATTCACCTCTCCACTCACTCAGACACTCATTTACTCACTCGCCCACCCACTCACAACCCAGTCACCCATCCACATTGACACTCACCAATCCACTCACTATTGCACATCAACAGACATTCGCCGACTCAAACTAACTCGCATTTAATCACGAATTCGACTATCCATTCGCATATCCACTCCCTTACACCATAAACCCATTCACTCACGTCCACCCTCACCCATCCACTCACCTATTCACTCCCTTCCACCATCACCCATCCACACACCCATCCACTCACTTACACATGTAGTAGCGCGCACTCTCTTCACAGATTACCGATCCACTCGCTCGCCTTCGCCTATCCCACTCCATTTCAAACTTAACAACCCAAACTGGCCGGCTCACCCCCTCACTCACCCCCTCACTCACCCCCTCACTCACCCCCTCACTCACCCCCTCACTCACCCCCTCACTCACCCCCTCACTCACCCCCTCACTCACCCCCTCACTCACCCCCTCACTCACCCCCTCACTCACCCCCTCACTCACCCCCTCATTCACCCCATCACTCATCCATCCCTCACTTATTCCATCACCTTTTTCACTCACTCGCTCACTCGTCGATTCGTTCAGTCATTTGCCTGTTCGTTCATTCGCTCACTCACCCACTCGCTCGTTCACGCATCCATCCATCCACCCAGTCACACAAACCCAAGTGACTCAACCATTCAGGCATTCAACCGCTCGCTCGCCCTCTCAATTCTTGCGAGATACGCCAGGACAGCGGAAGGGGAGTGGAGGCCCGGAGAGAACCCAGTGATGAAGGAACGGACATAGGTAGATGGATGCGTTCACCTTTACACACCTGTGAACCCCTCATCAGTGCTGCCTACCTTACTACAGACCAACTCGGACCATATTGGTCACCCCGTGCCCCTTATGAATCGCAACGTTCATCCTACAAAGTCCCATCACGAGGGAGAAACACAAACAAATAGACATTGTTTGTTTTGTCCGTACTGTATATAGAAACGGCTGTACGCCGTATAGAGCTGAAGACTCAATATCCCTGCACAAGAATACGGGGTAAGCCATATGGGTTGACAGGATATGCGGCCTCTATTGGGAGAGGGGGCCGAATGGATAGGAGAGAGAGATAGGGGGGGCATTGTATGAGCGAAAGGGGTTCGGTGAAGATTGGAAGGGGAATGAGAGACACGGGGCGTCTCCCGCCCGGGCGTCAGGCATTTTACGTCTGGCCAATCCTCCCTCACCTGCACACCCTCCCTCACCTGCACCCCATCCCTCACCTGCACACCCTACCTCACCTGCACCCCCTCCCTCACCTGCACACCCTCCCTCACCTGCACCCCCTCCCTCACCTGCACACCCTCCCTCACCTGCACCCCCTCCCTCACCTGCACACCCTCCCTCACCTGCACACCCTCCCTCACCTGCACCCCCTCCCTCACCTGCACACCCTCCCTCACCTGCACACCCTCCCTCACCTGCACACCCTCCCTCACCTGCACACCCTCCCTCACCTGCACCCCCTCCCTCACCTGCACCCCCTCCCTCACCTGCACACCCTCCCTCACCTGCACCCCCTCCCTCACCTGCACCCCCTCCCTCACCTGCACCCCCTCCCTCACCTGCACCCCCTCCCTCACCTGCACACCCTCCCTCACCTGCACCCCCTCCCTCACCTGCACCCCCTCCCTCACCTGCACACCCCTCCCTCACCTGCACACCCTCCCTCGCCTGCACCCCCTCCCTCGCCTGCACCCCCTCCCTCGCCTGCACACCCTCCCTCACCTGCACACCCTCCCTCGCCTGCACCCCCTCCCTCGCCTGCACCCCCTCCCTCGCCTGCACACCCTCCCTCACCTGCACACCCTCCCTCACCTGCACACCAACTGCGTGTAGAGCCCTCCGCTATGCGAACAGACAAGCCTTTTCATGTCATGTGGGGGGTTGGCGTCGAGAAAAAGGGAACACTGCGATTTGTATATAGCTTGCGCTGTAATTGTCACGCGAAGTTTTGTTTTAGCCTGTGCGTAACCGCGACTGATTTGGCACGTTTGGTTACGTACGGTGCGAAAGAAACTCAACGTAGATACGTACAAATAATAACTCAGCACTCGCCTACACACTATTCCTCAGGATCACACAACGCCACCACTATCCCTAGCCATACAACTCGCACATACCCAACTCCTAACACATACCCCCCCCCCCCCAACACTAACTATGCCAGTAACCCTATCCAAACACAAACCCAGTCTTAAAACATCATCCCCAACACACACACGCACACCCCGAACGCGAACCACACCGCCAAACTTAGCCCCAATACTCGACTCACCCCACCCTGAAACACCCAACTCTAACTCGTTGGTTCTTTCGGTAAAGCCACGTAGATCTAAAATAAATCACAACGTTTCGGGCGCAACAGACAAGCGTCCGTCATCAGGTGGGAAATCACGACGGATGCTTGTGTCGAGCCCGAAACGTCGTGATTTATTTGATTTTACACCGACCCCTAACGCACACCACATCTCGCTGACACGAACCATGGGCCCCCACACCGCCAGCTCAACTTCTGACACGGACCCTATTGCGAACACCTTCGTTAGGGACCTGGTGTGTATATTCAGGAAGGTCTCGGAGTACGCGGGCTCCCAGGGTACGCGGACCCGCTCATAGACGACCAAACTCATCCGATTCATACTTCACACCCTGTCAACCCATGCGATTTCTACCCCGGATTCTTGTGCAGGGAAATTGAGTTTTCAGGTCCATAATTCTGGCAAACAAAATGTGTCTATTTGTTTGTGTTTCTCCCTTGTGATGGGACTTTGTAGGATGAACGTTGAGATTCATAAGGGGCACGGGGTGACCAATATGGTCTGAATTGGTCTGTAATAAGACAGGGCACTGACAGATAAGGGGTTGACAAGGTTTGTAAGCGCGAATTCGCGTAAGTTGGGGTTCGCCTATACGAGTGCATATAAAATGTATATGAATGTATATAAATGTTTAATAAAGTAGAGTAATGTACAGTAAATGATTCACTGATCATCAGTAGCATCCGGGTCGGATAGAACACGACATTTTATTTGGACTCGTTCCTTGCGCGGGCGATGGTGTTGCACGTAGTCAAATCCATCATTCGCGTGATGGCGGGGCGGTGATTTGACTCCTCGCTTCTCGCCCCGTGCGTGTGTAGCGATAGTACGAGTCACAAAGTGTGAGCATGAATCGGAGGGTCTTGCGACAGACATTTGGCCGTATCATTAAGTGTCCTCACCCAAACACACAACTGTCAACCCCTTATCAGTGCCCAACCTTATTACAGACCAATTCAGAACTTATTGGTCACCCCGTGCGCCTTATGAATCTCAACGTTCATCCGACAAAGTCCCATCACAAGGGTGAAACACAAAAATGTTGCCCCTATTGAAACGGCCGTACGCCGTATGGACCTGAAAACTCAATTTCCCTGCACAAGAATACGGAGTAAATCGTATGGGTTGACAGGTTTGCGCTTATGCGGGGATACACGGAACCTAACCCTCCCCCCGCCTGCGTACTCTGAGACCTTGCCATAAATGCGTCTCATGGCACTGCAGCCTGTGGCACTGCGTGTACTCTGCACGGCGTTTCTCGGCTTGCGATCGTACAATACGGAGAACCGTGACTCAAGGAAACCGCGTACAATTCTTGTGACGCTCTGGAAGGGTTGGAAAGCTGAAAATGTTGGCGCGCATAAAGTCGAGTCCATTGTTTCCTAATACTGTATCCAGCAAGATCTGTGAAGGAGTTTAAAAAATAATTCCCCCCCCCTTCCCCAAAAAAATAAGTTAAACTTCAGGGGTAGACAACTTTTGGCTGACTAATCTGCGGATAAGCGCGGATAACAGGAGGAGCGGGGAATGTTCCGGAACTTTTGTCTGGCGGCGACCGATGAGCGGGAACGATGCGGATACGAGGAAGAATTGATGATTGAGGTAGTAACGCGGGTTACTGCTGCTGATCGGGGGATGGTGCGGATTATAGGAGGGAGCGGTATTTCGTAGGGCGTCGGGATAAGAGTGGCTGGCCTGAGGCTCGCCACTCCTCACGACGAATGGCTGCTTCAACCGCCCTCATGCCACAGCCGTTTGGCAAACAAATATCAAAAGAGGCACGATATGAAACAATTGTAAATCCCGATGAGATAATGGGTCACCGATTCGCTTATTCTTTTCATAAAAAGCTAAGGACCATCTAAGTAAACCCACCATAATCGGTGCGTCTCCAGCGGAGGAGGAACAGCAACAACGACACGAACTCTCTCTTCAAGCCCTCTCGTGGCCAGCAGACCTCGACATTGGCACTTGGGGCCTGCACATTTTGCCATCATACTTAAGAGTAGAATACAACAGCTAGCCTCGTACACTATGAGACCTCCTTTACCAGTGGCAAAATATAGTAGTAGGTTTTTACCCTTTAAACTGGTACAAAACTGACACCTTTATACGAGGCATCATGTTTGCAATAACCACAACACAAGTAGTCAAAATGCAAACAAAAAGAAACAACTCTGATAATGATAATAATATATGTATAAAGGTGTCAGTTTTGTACCGGTTTAAATGGTAAAAACCTACTACTATAGCTAGCCTCGTG